AATACAAGGAATCAATGAAACAGTTGGTTCTTTGAGAAAACCAGTAATATTAACAAACCCTTAGCCAAACTAACTAAAAGGTGGAGAGAGAAGATCAATACTAAAAAAATTAGAGGTGAAAAAGTAGACATAACAACAGACAAGGAAATCCAGAGAAACACACGGGCATATTTTAAAAATCTGTACTACACCAAATTGGTATATCTAAAAGAAACAGATAATGTTCTCAATATATACTACCTACCAAATTAAAATCAAACTCAGGTAAGCAATTTAAACAGACCTATAATTCCTAGTGAAATAGAAGCAGTAAATTAAGTCTACCAATCAAAAGAAGCCCAGGGCCAGATGGTTTATGGCATAGATTTCTATCAGTATTTCAAATAGTTAACCCCAAAACTTCTCAAATTATTCCACAGAAACAAAACAAAGAACCTGGCCCAACTCCTTTTACAAGGACACAATTACTGATAATACCTAAACCACATAAAGACTCATCAAAGAAATAGAATTAAAGGCCAGTTTACCTTATGAACACAGATGCAAAGTCTCAATGAAATACTTGGAAACTGAATCCAAGAACACAACCAAAAAGATCTACCATGATTAAGAGGCTTCATCCCAGAGATTAAGGGATGATTCAACATATGCAAATCAACACTTGTAATCTACCATATAAACAGACTGAAAGACTAAAAGTTCAACCAGGAAACTCCTACAGCTGATAAACACTTCTTCAGCAAAGAAGCAGGATATAAAACAAAAAACCAGTAGTCTTCTTATATACAAATGACAATCAGACTAAGAAGGAAACTAGGGACACAACACCCTTCACAATAGCCACAAATAATCTTGGGGTAACTAACCAAGCAAGTAAAAGACATCTAGGATTAAAAAAAAAAACTTTAAGACAGCAAAGAAAGAAATTGAAGAAGATATCAGAAAATGGAAACATCTCTCAAGGCTCATGGATAGGTAGGACTAATGCAGAAAAACTGGGCATCTCTACCAAAAGCAATCTACAGATTCATTTCAATCCCAACCAAAATCCATCACAGAACAGGACAACTTTCAATTTCATATGAAAACACAAAAAACCCAGGATAGCTAAAGCACTCCTGAATAATAAAAGAGCTGCAAGAGGTATCGTCATGCCTGATCTCAAACTGTACTACAGAACTAATACTAGTAATGAAAACACCATGATATTGACACAAAAACAGATGTGTTGATCAATGGAATTGAGCTGAAGACCTAAAAATAAGCACACACCTATGGACACCTGATTTTTTATAAAGAAGCCAGAAATACACACTGTGGGCGGGGGAGGAGAGCAGACAGGTTTTGTTGTTGTTGTTTGTTTTGTCTGTTTCTTTGGTTTTTTTCTTTTTCTTTTGGGGGTAGATGGGTGAGTGTAATATTGGCTATCCTGGAACCTGCTCTGTTGACCAGGGTAGCCTTTAACTCACAGAGATGCACCAGTCTCTTCCTTCTGAGTGCTGGGATTAAAGGCCAAACCCAGCTCAGCATTTTCAACAAATGGTGCTGGTCAAATTAGATAGCTGGATACAGAAGAATGCAAATAGATCCATAATTGTCACTCTGCAAAAACTCAACTCCAAATGGATCAAAGATCAACATAAAAACAGATACCCTGAATTCAACAGAAAAGAGCGTGGGCAATAAATAGTTCTGAACTCATTGGCACATGAAAATACTTTCTTAGTAGAACACTGATAGCACAGGCACTAAGACCAACAATTAAGAAAGGCACTAGGGAAATGTACTTATCCCTAGCATAGGTGTATACTTTGGGAGCCCATTTCACATTGAGCAATACACCCTGAGCCAAGACACATGGGGGATGGTCCTAGGCCCTATCCCAAAGGACACCATAGACTCTGATGACATCCTATTGAAGGCCTTACCCTCCAGGGGGAGCAGAAAGGATATATGATAGGTAGCTATTTTTTTTTGGGGGGGGGCACATAGGGGAGGAGGGAGAGGGAACTCAGATTGACATGTAAAACAATCTTGTTTCTAATAGGAAGGAAGGAAGGAAGGAAGGAAGGAAGGAAGGAAGGAAGAGAGGGAAATAGGACCTCAACATCCTTAGCCATCAGGGAAATGCAAATCAAAACAACTTGAAATACCATCTTACTACTGTCAGAATGGCTAAAATAAAAAACTGGAGAGGATGTGGAGAAAGGGAAACACTCCTCCACTGCTGGTGGGAGTGCCAACTTGTACAGCCACTTTGG